TGTATTGTGCAGCTTTGCACAATGTTGAGAAGCAAGATAAAAATTCCAGTCCTGTTGATGAGGAAATACCTATTTCTATCAATATGGATATAATTGATTTTTTTTTCTGGTGTTTTGGGTTTAAGCATCTAAAGAGCAAACTTTTGTATTTGAAAGAACCTAAAGCCTGTTTAGAGCCAAAAATCCTTTACTCCTAAATTAGGAAATACCAAAATTAGGGTTGGTTGTGCAATGTCTCTGTTTATGGAATTTTATATTGTGTGGTTGTGTTCTTTTGCAATAGGACTTTGTTTCAGTTATCAAACAATTGGAGTGGTCACATGGAGAGGCTACTCAGGATTCTGGTTTTTTCCTCATTACTCATGCATGGGTCACTTGCTTAGTTCTGTGCCACTGGAGTTCTGCACTAGAGACAGAATTATTGGGTTTTCTTGTTGTTTTCTCCAATAATCATCACTATAATAGCTGATAACTCATGAACTGTTTTACCTTGCTCAGATCAGAAATATTGTTCTTCCCATTTCACAGATTGAGATCCTAGGGCAGAGTAGTTACAATTAGAGACCAATTAAATACTGAGTGTCTGGCTTTAATTACTCAAGCCAAGTTTTTCCAGTGTACTTATTATTAATCCTATGTCCTAAACCGCTTCTTACAGGCTTGGATCAGGAGGATTGGTGTTTCTGCAGGCCACGCACTCCAAGCTTGCAGCCAGGTCTAGCATCTCCACTCAGCCACTGGGAAATGGAGCACACCCAGGCAGTACAGCCTCTTCAGATGACATTTCACAGCTTGTGTATCATTGCATAACATCTCTGAGATGGAATTCAGCTTTCCAGGATAGTGTGCAGCTGTCTGTGCTGCAGGTTTTTGGGTTTTTTTCTATTTTTCCCTCATTGCACTCCTAAACATAGCAATGTAAAGGTGTCTGCCTGCCTTGCAAGACATGGATACAGAAACTTCTTTTTAATATAGCCAAGTGTGGATTTACATATTCAGGAGCAAGAGTCTAGACTACACATGGAGAAAAATATCTTAAGAAGCATGAAGTCAAGAATAAAATAGAAAAATTTAAGAATTGTGTTTTTTTAATTTATTTATTTTTAATACCAGCAAGTATAAAACAGTTCCTAGGTACGGGGGAATCTCTAGTCAGTCATTATTTCTGTATCCATTTTTACCAAGCTTAAAGACTTTATGCAGTCTGTGGATGAATAGCTTAAAAATCACATGTTGCAGGTACACTGAAACAAAAGCTTTGATAATGGAAATGTCTATCCAGAAGACAAAAATGTAATTGTTGGAATAATGAAGAGGGGAAAAAAAAAATAATCCTAGAAAATGTCTTTCTTTTTAATAGAATACTTAACATGGATGATTGAAGTCGATAAGAAATTCTGTATTATCATAATAACTAAATTAATGTTTCAAATATTGAGAGGTTAGAAATTGTTATCTATAATTCTGGGAGATAGCAGCTGTCAGCTTCTGATTTATAAATAGTATCAAGTGTTCTAGTGTTTGTGAGGACAGGAGAAATCCGTAGCCAAAAAATGAAAATTGTAAGGCGGAAGCTTTCGAATTGGCTCTGAAGTCGTGATTTAAAACTTAAATAGTGTCCTTCCTGAAATTCAATCACTGAGCTATTAAAGGAACTTCACAGATTTGGGTAAAATTTTTCAGTTTGGATTTATGAGCAGCCTGACTTTTAGAAATTCTAAAAATTTTAAAGACTGATACCCTTAATAATTAATAATTTCAGTCAGATTATTTAAATAATTTATTTAGCTTCCTATTCACTGTTAATTGGATCTTCTCGATTTCATAGCTGCATTATGTCATAGTTTTGTGTAATGTTAACAACATTGTAATTTTGGCACTTATTTTTTCTTTTAATGTCATCATCAATTCATTACTTGACTTTATTTTTTTCTGTTTTTTACAATATCCTCTTCTTACATAACTTTATGGTTGAAGCTGGGCCTAAAATTGTCTTAATATTTCCTCTTCTGTGTGGCAGTAGAAAAATTTGCTTTGTGCCTCTGATGTTTCATGATTCATTTTTAACATGAACGTGAAATTACCACTCTGCAAATGATACTTAGATCTGGAATTCTGTTTTGTCAAACAGTCTGACGGAGTGGGAAGGCAGATAAAAGTAATCTGTTTATGTTTAATCCTGATAAAGCAGGCAGTGTTTTCATGCTGCTAGAAAGCTTGCAGTGGAATTGGATTGTGTGTCTGCGAGTGTGCCAGGTTCCCTGACAGGTACAAGTTGTTATCAGCTTAGGTTCTCATTCTGCTTGTGGGGTTTTAGGTGTTCCCACACACGAGAATTTCTTTTTTCATTTTGTCTTCATAATAAATCAAGATGAAGGCCATTAACTCTTAATCTTACTACTACTATTCACACTTTTTTTCTCTTAAATACAGATTACAACAGAATATACAATTGTGGTGTGAATTTATGCCGTGGCTACTCCAGGGAGCTCAGATTTCAGCGTAGGTTCTCATTCTGCTTGTGGGGTTTTAGGTGTTCCCACACACGAGAATTTCTTTTCTCATTTTGTCTTCATCATTAATTCAGATGGAGGCCATTGACTCCTATTCTTACTACTACTGTTTACACTTTTTTTCTCTTAAATACAGATTACAACAGAATATACAATTGTGGTGTGAATTTATGCTGTGGCTACTCCAGGAAGCTCAGATTTCCACAAGCTGCTGTGTTCTCACTGGTCCCTCATTCTCACATGCAGAAAAGAGCTCAGGATATGCTGTGCTACCACAAGCTCAGGGATTGTTTCTCAGTGTATTTCTGAAGTGTTCATCTGTTCTGGACAGATGGGAGCAGTGTGGAAGGAAGAACAGTGGAACTGTCCACTTGTGAAAGATTTCACCGCTAACTGGGTGAAGTGTGAGCTCAGAGGATGTTGGGCTTTGGTCATAGCTTGCTTTCAGCTATGCTTCCCAATTTAGGCTGAAAATACCATTTAACCAAGGAGAGAAAGTCAGTGTGGGTGGGTTTGAAGCTCGGCTGACATCTCTGGATCTGCAGTATCCTGACTTAAAACTGGAGTTCAGATGGGATATGTTGGTGTTGTGTGTATTGTTGGGTGGTGCTGTGGTTTGGTTTGGTGGCACAGACCCAGTGTCCTTGTTCCATGACCCAGATAGGTTTGTATTTGGTTGCAATTGTATTTCAAAATACTCGCTGTAGTTCTGTAAAATCTGAAATGGTCATTTATTCTGGGTATCACATTACTTGTGTTTGTCACTGAGTTGAGGTAAATCAACAGCAGAAGCAAGGCCAGTTTGAGTCTTTCAGCATCTAATGGCCAGAAGCAGTTTGGCATTTCCAAAGGACTGTCAGCTCTCAGATTTATTAGGTATTCATAAATAGTCTGTGATATGTCTGTTCTGTTGGCCAAAGGTGAAGCTGTTCAACCTGTGTTGCATAATTGATGGTGCCACCAGCTGTGGTAGACTTAAAAAAAATGTGAGAAGGTGGAGCAGATGGCCAAAATTTCATCAATGCTCTTCTCCATTGGAGATTCTTCTATTAAAAAAATAAGAATCTTGATTAAAACAAATTTAGTTAGTCTGGGATTCTCAGTCTACTTGCTGTGCTGTGGCATTGAAGAATATGGAGTTACTTGTGACTTGGACAAGTTTTCTAATGTGTTTCATCAGAAGGATGTGGAATTTTGCATAACAGGTCGGTGTTCTGGAACCTTGAGTTGTTCACACACTTTTCTGCAGGTCCACAGTTTATTATTATTATTTATTATTACAACACCCATTGGAATATGCTAGAATATTAATGTGGATTTGAAATACATATTTTAATATTCCTGTTAAAAAACCCTGAGATTACTTGTGCAGTTCAGCTCTTACAATTCACATTTGTGGAACCACTGCTGCATGTTATTTTAGTTGCATTTTTTAGGTGAATGATAGAAATCATCACACTTTTCAGTAATCATAAAAAGGACAGTACGTATTCCAAAAGTTAATTTTTGTATGTCTACAGGATGTCTGGTTTGTGGGATATTTTAGACTTTTTGCCAATGTGCTGTGTACTAAACAGTTTGGACCATTTTTAGTTCTATAGAAGGCAACACACAGCTTTAAATTTGGGGGGGAGAAATGGAGAAAATATCACACTTGTGTCTTGCAAGCAGCTGTACATTCATTTTCTTTCCAAACATTAACAAAGCCAAGGTACACTTCGTATGCCATGGGTTTGGCTCTGTGGAATTGAAGGAGTTATTGCTTTTGGACTCTCCTAATATTAGGAAATATTACATCATCAGGATCAGTGTTGCAATTGTTTATGAACAGGTGCTCAACCCATTTCAAAGGAAATCCATTTTCAGATGAAATTAAATCACTGTGTTCAAAGACATGTAGGATCTGCAAATTCTTGGTAAGGTTAAGGACAGCTCTTGTCTGCTGCAGGGTAGGGAGGGAAGGAGGAGGAAACCCAGGATCTCCTGTTGAAAATAATGGGCAGAATTACAGCAAATCTACAGGGAGGCAGAGAGATGTTCAACCTACTCCACCAACTTTGATACTCATAAGATAGACCTGGACACTGTTTGAAAATTTAACAGATTTTCCTACTTCCACAGGCATGAAATGCTACCTGCAGTGCGCTGGTAGTGGAGTCAAATGGATGTGACAGCTGAAATAAAGGACAGAGAAAAAGATTGTAAAGAAAAAAAAAACCACTGGTTTAGTGCTCTGAAGAAAAGGATCAACCACCTTTGCCTTAATTGAATATTTAAGAGCTTGTAATTTACATGCTTAGAGAAGTGCCTTTTGATTGATCTTTTTTGATTTTATAGGATCCGAGTGTCATTTTGTGTTTCCAGATGGGGAAAACATAAGATGGAAATAAATTCTGAAATTGGTTTACAGGTCACATTTAAATATCTACCAGGTAGAACTGCTGTTTGAGAAGATGCTCACAGTTTGTGTTTGATGTGCATTTGCAGTGTCCATATATGGGATTTGGTTTTATGATAAAGAAGAATGCCAAAGAATTGCAGAGCTCATGAAAAAGTAAGTGATGGGTAAACAAGACTTCTGTGCTTTTTTATGTATGTATTTCTGTACCTAAATGTACATTTTATGTTTTTAGGATTATCATACCTTTCTACTTTAAACTTATAAACTTTGTTGCAAGTGTCAAGCCTGCATTTCATAAAATCATAAATAAGTCACTGTATTGCAGTAATTTTTCCTAATTTGTAGTGCAGCTCTCTAGCTACATCAGAGTGTACCAGTTGATATGATTTATTTCCTGATGACTCAGAGATCTATTCTGAAGAATTGTATTCTTTGGGGGTTTAATATATTTTTCAATTTGGGGAGATTTTATTTTTTAATATTGTTATATTTATTTTTTTTTTCCTTATATGAAGGTAAGTGCAGGATATCATGAGGGCATACAGTACCAATACAGTTTCTGTGGGTTTTGTCCTGTTTGTACATCATGGCTGAGTTCAAAATTCACTTTGTTTTCAGCATTTAAAGCAAGACTTCAATTAGCTTTAAAGTCATTGCTTTCTTGCACATAAAAATGTTTTATTATACGTGTTAAACTATAATTTTGCAGTCCAGCCAGAGGTGAAGATTTCACACAGAACCGTGTTCTCAGCTGCATTTTAACCTAAGAATGTCTTGGGGGTAATTCTTTTCAGTATCTCTTTCCTTCTCATGTCCAGGATGGACAGGGCTCATTCTTCTGCTCTGTTTGCAGGGACCCTTTTTTTAGGATTATATCCTGCAGGGTTTCATGTTTGCTTGGAGAAGGAAGGAGCTGAAGTCACACAGATTGTATCAACATATGCAATCTACATTTTTTAGAGTTATAATGATGAAGATGTAGTAAATGGGCTGGGTAGGAACTGGCTATTCCAGCTGCCTGTGGGTTATAGGGTTAGACACACCAGACAGGATTTGTGATAAAATACTGGATGAGAAGGGGCTCATCTTTCCTCCATATATCTTTTCTTTGAAGTAATACCTGCTGCTTTTCATTTTGCAGTGACAAAACAGTGTGAAATGCAGACTGTGACAGTGGTGGGGTTTTGTTCAGTGGGCTTCGTTGGTTTTGCTGTATCCTGCAGCTCTAAAATGAGTCAGCTGTGACCCAAGAAATAATTGATGGGGATGAATTTACAGAAATAAACAATGAACCCTAGGAAACGCAGGTTTTTGATAGCTCATTTTAGTTAACTAGCTCGAGTTTCGGTTGGTGGTGATTAGGTGCTCTCAAACTGGTAATTTACTACAATAAAACCTAGTTTTCAGAGGATTCATGCAAATGTAAACCATGTGTAGTGGTTTATAATAGCAGTATTTCATATAGATAAAAAATACCCTGTTGCTCAGCCAATTGGCTGTGTGTTTTAATTCTCAGCATTCTACAATAATAATAAAACAGCTGGGGCAGGAAATTGGTCATTTGCTAGTACTTAATTCCTGATTTGTGTGTGTTTGCCATCCTCCACCACCAGCAGAACTGAATAACACTATAAATTCCCTTCTCCTTCTGGGTATAGAAATTGTGACTCAGTTATGGAAATTTTATTCTATGGTCTAGTGTATTCAAGATTGGAGAAAATTAATCTCATGTCAAATTATGATTTTATAGAGATCTTTTAATAGCGATATTTTTTTTACTGCACGTTTTAATGTAGATGGGGAAAGACAAATATTTGAGTTTCAATCAAGCATTGTACAGTAATTGTGGTCAAGTTTTTATATTTTATTTGCATTTTTTTTCTCATCTTTCCTCCACCCTTCAGCCTAACTCAGCAGGAACAATTCAAAGCACAGCAGGGCACAGGAACAGGGGTTTCTCCCATGATCGTGAATTCTGCTAATAACAAAGAAGTGGATATCTTACGGATGCTTACCAAGGCCAAAGATGAGTATACCAAGGTGAGACTTGCTCCCCTTTTACATCAGGAAACAAAAAAGGTTTGATTTGGGGTTTTGAACAAATCACACAAAGTGATTTTGGACAGCCTGCTCTCTCATTTTGTGTAGAAGCAGCTGGTAAAAAAAAAAAGGGTTTTGACAGAATTTGCTAAAAATTCAAAATAAACTAATGCTGTCAATAACAAGCTCTGGAGTGAGAATGTGGATTATTTGTTGAATGGTAGAGGCTAAGAGCAAGTATAAATTGCCTCTCATTCTGACCCTTAGAGCTCCTGTGCCTCTTGAGGAGCACCTGCAAGCTGTGCCCTCTTTCTGGGATAAGTATTTACCTGGTGGTAGTTTCTGTGGTTTGTACAAAGGACTTGGTTCAGGAGGCTTTTGACAGTGAAGTTACTGCTTTTAATTGTGGTTGTTAGCTCCTTTCAGGCACTAATAGAAAGAAATGGAAAGGTTGAAATGTAGTATGATTTCAGCCCGTGTGCTGCCTTGGTCTTCTGAGGCTTCTAAATAAAGAAGTAACTAATGGACTAATAATGTTCTCTATTATTGAGCAATCAAAAACGTTTTACTTTGGGGAATAAAAATCTAATAATTTTAACTATCCATATATATGCTGCAAATTGTTACAGAGCCTGCAGGTTCCTGCTGCTGTTTGCTGTATTGCTTATGTGCTGTCATGCGATAATAGAGCTCCTAAATGTTCCATAAGAGCCTGGAAATGTACATGCATCTTAACTTTTTCTCTCCTTAAATTCCTTGTGTTTATTTCTTCTGAAATGTAGCTGCTAATAAAATCCTCAGAAAGATGATAGCAAACTATTTGAGCTAGGGTGAAATGGAGCACTTTTTATTTGGTTTAGTTTCTGTTGAAGCTTGCGGGCCTTTGTTTTCTGTAGTAGAGATTTAATGCACTGTAGTGGGCAAACACTTCCAAAACCTGGTGTTTTTCCTGTATTTTAGTACTGAATCAGTATCTAATCTTGGCATCAGAGAATATGATTTGAGATGTTCTGAAGTGTTTAAGAGGTTTTCATTAGACAACCTTAAAAATACTGCAGATGGAAAAGGGGAAAAGTATTAGGCTGTCTTCAGATTCTGTGAAAAGAGGGTGATAAATCTAAAAGATGTTACCTTCCATTTCTGCATTAGCACACAGAAATCAAGACAAAGGAGAGGAAATTCTGTTGTTTAAATAATAGCTTTTAGGACTCTTTTCCCTTTAGGATCTTCTGCAGATCTGCTCCTTATTTTATCTTTGATCTTTCTGCATTTAAGGGATTGTGAAGGACATAAAAAATAACATGAAAACTTCCTCCTTGTCTGGGACGTGAGTGCTAGGAATGCCTGACCTCTTGTGAACAGGATGTGTGTGATTTCTTGTATGGCTTGTAGTATAAATTTCAAAAGAGTGTGATAAATAAAGGCAATGACAACCATTTTTCTATTTAATGTCAATATGTTTCAGAGCAGTCGTGCTTTTTGACTGGTTTATGACATCTACTTTCTTGTCAGTGTGTGTTTTATTACTTACAATCTGATGTGCTGAAATTAGTTATGAAACATGTTGTTCTCTTTTTTGAATTCTGTATTTATTCAGTGAAGAGTGTTTTAAAGTGTTAGAAGCTGTAGAATAAGAGCATCAATTTTCCAAACTTTTAAGGAATTTTGCTCAATTTTTAAAAGTGTAACTAATTTTGAAAGGTGTATCTTGTTCCCAAATTATGTTATACATTTGGAGGTTACATTACATGGAAAATAAAATACAGAGCTTCCCCTTTCTTTTTGAATTAATGGAGCTTTAAGATGCTAAACCACTGAGTTATTTTCTTTTTTTAAATGCACTTTTTATACACTTGCCTTCTCTTGATCTCTGGGAAGAAAAAGCTGGCCTCACTGACAGCCAGGGAGAAAACCAGTTGAAGAGCTGCAAGGGTACAGAACAAAGCATGACAAAATGGGTTTCTCCTTAACCACTGTGCCTTGTCTTGTACTGCAGGATCAGCTCTGGGTTTAACTCTGTGCTGCACAGTTCTTCTCCCAGCATTTTGCATTTTCAGCCTCATCTTGTCCAGGTTTGCTTCAAATATCTCTGACTCTACCAAACTTGCCAAAACCCCCACAGTGATTTTCTTGCTCTTTTTGATTTACATTGACCATATGTGTCTGGTTTTGTTCCAGTGTTTCTGAGCCTTTCTTTGACTTGATCTTAGAACCTTTTGATTACTTAGGGATCTTTTGTAACAGCAGAGCTTTGGCTAGGACACCTGACTAAAGGACAGACCTGCAAAGCAAGGTGTAGTAATTGCCAAATGTTGTAGCTGGTGAGGACTCTCGGGTTCTATCATTAAGGGGCATGCTGGCATTTCTTTCATGCTGCTCTTTGATAAAAGCATCTGATATCTTCTTTACCTCTCTACCTGACAGTTGCTTAAAATGCCATGCTAGTGCTCCCAACTTACTCATCTGCAAGGCCGTGCTCCCCATCTGCCAAAATGGCTCTGTAGGCTGAGCTCCAGTAGTTAGAGATTCCTTTGAAATCATCTCAGGCTTCTTTTCTCTTCCATGTGCTTCTGTGTTTGATAGCAACCTACTAGCCTTGTTATCAAATCACAGCAATGATACCAAGTCAGGTCAATGTCATTCTCGTGTGTACTGATGCTCATTTGGCTGAGGAATTTGGTCTAAAATATGCTCATATAGTGATAACTCTGTTAAACACTGCTGCTTCTCGCCTCATTTTTATATGCTTAGTTCTGTGATCGTGCAGGGTATGACAGTGGAATCAAGGTACTTAAGGTTTCTGAAGAATTCAGCCTATTAAAATATCCTGAGGAAATAAGGGTATTACTTAAATTCTGCAGAATTCTCTGGGAAATATTCAAGAGGATGTTATCCATGGTGTTAAAAGAAAAAGCTTATGTGCTTTTTGCCCAAAAGCTTAAGCTGAAAAAGAGCAATGAGAAGAAGATATGTTGAAGAAAAGACTTTATTAGAAAGAAAACTGTTTGGGAGGGAAAAAAAAGCTATTTAATCTTCCTGAATTTCAGTTTTGTTCCACATAGGATCTGTCCAATCTAACAAACAACTGAAAGTATTGAGGACTTACTGGAGCCCCTTAAGTCCCCACAAGAACTCCAGTTCTGGTGTACTGGGCAGCCCTGGAACCAGCATTATTGTTGCAGTAGGTGTGAAAAATAGGTTAAGTGATCAGCTTTGTATATTTGAGAGTGGAGTTAGAAGTAACAGAAGAATTAATAGTTAATAGAATTAACTTCTTGTTAAATAATTCTTTTTAAAATCTTCCCAGTTTCTTGGTTTCCACTTGGTATCAGAAAGTGTCAATGACTTCAAATATAACATCTTCTTTTCTGCTGACAGTAGCATTCCATGTATACCCAGTGCTTTTTTAGTTTCATTGACTAAATTCTTATATATAGCATCTTAGTCATGTTTTTCTTTTCCATTTACTATTTCTCTTTCATGGAGCATTTTATCTGTTTTTTTTTCTGAATTAAGTCATGCCCTTCTCTCTCCACATGACATTTTTTGTCCCTGATCACTTTTAGTTATCTGTGACCATCTTTTTTATAAATATTTTTAATAGTCATATTTAATAAGAAATTCTACTGATTCTATAAATTTATTTAATCTTTAATTACTTTTCTGTGCATGTATATGCATCCTACAAGTTCCCCAAAAAAATTTATGTAAAAGAAGTTTGAATTTTAATTCTACTTTTTGACAAAAGCATTTTAAATGATCTTTATGGGCACATTAATCCTTCATGGATCTAAACTACCTCTAGCTGATGCAGGATCAGCATGTCTGTGGCTTGCTTTCTAAGGTGCTTTTAAAAAGTATTTTATGTTTTTGAAGTGCAGGAAAAGCAGAAGGCCAAAAAGAGAACTGAGATTTAAATTAGAGGGAAGCCTCATACAAGGCAAATCTCAGAATCAAGTGTTACTTTATATCTGTCTTGTGGTTTTATAAAATTAGGTTGCAGTTGCTACAGTTCTTCTAATAGCATAATACTTCATCATCAGAGCTGCAATCAGTATTTTTGGGCATTGAATACCTGGTTATATCTGTATTTTACTGTGGTTGGGAACCAGGGAAAAAGATACTGTCATAGATACTAAGAAATGCCTTTTTCTGTTGCAGTGTAAGACCTGCTCAGAGCCAAAACAAATAACCAGTTCCTCTGCAATCTATAACAACCCCAACCTCATCAAACCCATTCCAGTGAAGCCGAGTGAGAGCCAGCATCAGCGAGTCTCCCAGCAGAGCAAGGTAAAATCTGTGCTGCTGTCTGACTGCTGCAGCAGTGAGTGACAGCAACATTGAGCTGAGCTGGAAGGTCACTGCGAGAATCTGAGATGGAACCACTGTGAGGAATGATTTTAAAGCATAAATAACCTGGTTTGTAAAAGCTCCCCAACCTGATGTGGAAACAAGTAAACTACAGATTTATTATCCTGATGCAACAAAGAAGTACTTTGAAATCTTCCAAATTTCAGGTGTTGTTTTGGTCACAAGCTGATCTAGTCAATTGCTGGACCACACTTTTTGTGGGTTTTGTTTTGTTTTGTTTTGTTGGGTTTTTTTCCAGGGGAAATAATTTAAATAAAGAAAAGTCTCTGGGTATATCTTCAAGCCAAATCACAGTGCATACTCCTAAAAATTGAATTCAGCTGTGACCAGCAGATGCACAAGAAGTGGCTCTACTTCATACACAGGCAGATTTCTGTCTCTTACTAATATTGTACTGTAAAAGATGATGCTCTTTCATGTTATTTAAAGCAAAGCCACTGCTATATCTCAGATTCACTGATTTTCTCCCACATTAGCAGCTTGACAACAGTCTTCTTGCCCTTCCTATGTGACAAAACTATTAAAAATCCTCTCGGGGGGGGAGAAAAAAGAGCATAGCAGTTTTCTCAGCTTTTCATTGAGTTCTGCTGCCTAAATCCTGTCTCCACTTACCGTAACTTCTGCAGGAGGGAGCTACATTTACTCCTTGGCTTTGTCCCCTCACAGAGCACGGATCCTGAACCCCAGCACCTGTCTCTGACAGCGCTGTTTGGCAAGCAGGACAAGGCAGATGTGGCAGAAGCTCTCAGCAAGCAGGAGAAGCTGGCGGGCAGGCAGTGCGTGGTGCGCTCGCTGTCCTACGAGGAGCCCAGCCGGCTGTCCCCCTGCGCAGAGAAGCAGCTGTGCCCCGCCATCCAGAAGCTGATGGTGCGTGGCACGGAGCTCCATCCCCTGGCAGAGTTCCCTGAGAGCCGCCTGTGTGAGAACGGCAGCATCCCCTGCGTGGGGGAGGCTTTGCCAGGGCTGTTCCAGCCCGTGGCACGGCACGGCGTGGCTCCTCACGGAGCGCAGGGTGCCGCTGGCACCCAGAGCTTGCTGCAGAAGCTGCAAAGTCAGCCAGGCTCCGCCACTAAAATGGACCCCAGTGCCACGGGAGCTGGCAACTCCACAGCTTCTGTGTTCAGCAGGACTCCTGCTCCTGTGGGAGCACCAGCAGCACCGGGAAATAACATGAGCCAGCCCCCTCTGGTGTATTTCAATGGGTCCCTGCCAGGCCAGACTTTAGAGGCTCAGAGCCTTGGTAAAGAACAATCCAAACTTCCCAGACAGCCGCTTCCTCTCTCCAGCAATCAAGCGGCCAATTCTGGGGTGATTTCACCTCAAGAACTGTTGAAAAAACTCCAGATAGTGCAACAAGAACAGCAGCTCCATGTATCCAGCAGACCAACGTTGGCAGCTAAGTTCCCAGTTGTCACCCAGAACACCAACACCCTGAAACCACTGGATTCCTGGATAGAAAAGGCTCCAGGCACAGAAAAACAGAGTGCTCTCCTCCAGGTAAATGGGGAACTTCTTCACCAGAAATAAATACAAATCCTTCTAAACTTGATGTTTTCTGAGGTTAGTCTTGGCTTCGTTGTCCTGCTGCATGTTGCACACGATTAATTTTGCAGGTGGTACTTTCCCAGCATCGAGAAAGTTCTGATTTACTGAGATGTGATGTTGTGAATCCTGAATGTCACATCTCTCACACATCAATGATGATCAGAAATACTGCAGGGTTGGGCTATCCCAGAGCCCCTTTGGAAAGTCACCTAGTTTTCACTAGCCATACTTGGGCTGTTACGTGTAATTGTTTGCTACTGAGTGTAATATTTTGGGTTTAATAATTATTTTCTGCAAAATTAGTCATAGCTTTCTCTGTGTAGATGTGCATTCTTTTGTATGCCAGTTGCTACAGATACTTAAGAGGGCCCTTGTTTTCTAACAGCAGCTTTTTGAAGCATTTGTATATTGGTCAGTCAGTTACATTGTACCACACCTGCTACTTCTAGATACTCATTAGCTATTTTTCTTTAATTTGCTTTGTATTATTTTGAAGAAAAGGTCTTGTGCCTGAACAACATCAAAAAATTCTGTTTCTTTTGATCCTAGAAGTCAGATTGGTGTCCTAAAAAATTCAGGAGATGTTAAGAGACCATATCTCTCTCATGAGTACATTTTTATGTTCTTCAGAAAAGCAGCGTGTGCAATTACAAAATGTCCCATCCAAAACAGCTACTGTCTTTAACAACTTCATTTTCTGTAGGATTTTCTGCACTAGAATGTTTTTACATGTCCTGTCTGGGAATGTATCTAAGCCCTTTTGAGCTTCCTTTATTGTGGATAGGCTGTGTTGTACTGGAGTCTGACTTGTGTGGGAGTCTAGAAGTTACTGGTGCCAAGCATTCCCCTTTCCAGTGTAAAGTTGAAAAGCTGCTTTTCTGTTGTGACTATTCCATTCTTGTACTTCTGTTTTATTCTGGTTTTTATTCTATTTTTCTAATTCTGTCAAAACCTGATTGAAAGACAACAGGATATTTCAAAGTGCTAGAAAGTTCTTCTCTACATGAAGATGCTGAAAGAATCATTTAATAATAAAACAGCCACATCTGTCACTAAGTTTGTGACAGGTCAAGTTTTCTAATTCCATGAAAGAGGTAGGAGGAATGCAAATTTGATACAAGAAAATAGCCATCATTATTTTTGTTCTTTTAATTAATGCAGTAGGATTTGAATCTGTGTGAAAGAGGTTTTTGGGGATTAGTCATTGAAATTATTCAGGATCAGTTGCTTACAGATGGTAACTTTGACTTTCCAGTGGAGAGCTAAAGAATAAAAGGAGGATCCAAAGTCAAAAAAATTGATTTGTTTTCACTGGGAATGGAACTTGCCTGCTTTAAATGTAAGAAATGGTGTGATTCATTGGTACATGTACTGATAGCATGAGGACATAATGAAGGCATTCCTACTTTGAAGATAAAAGTGAAATGAGGCAAGTCCAGGTTATACATTGTAAGTCAGTATGCATGCATAAAAAATAAGGAAATGTGCTGATATATTTTTTCAGATGAAAATCCCTACAGAAGCTGCTATGGCCAATAACTTTAATGCTGGGTATATGAAAAAGACAGTGGTGCCAGCACTGGTTGCAATATGGAAAGGCAACTCCTGAGGTCTGGTCTCATGGAATTGCAACAGTTTGACTGCTTGAGTGTGGACAGAACAGCAGCTTGAACAGTATTAGATGTATTAAATTTGGACATTTAATGCATGGACTAAAAATGATCATGAAAGTGTCACTAATTATTGTTTAGGACACCTAAAGCTCTGCAGTCTGGGAGCAATAGCCTCTTTCACGTGCAAAAGATTACCACAAAAGCAAAAGCAGGGAGGCTAAAAATGAAGGAATGGCTCTGTTCCTTTGGAAGCCATGGATTAGCCACACAAAGCATGCCTGCTTTTGAAAAAGAACCTGGAAGATAAAAAACAACTTTTAAAACCAACATTAATCTTTTTATAATATTATCCTTGCAGCAGACCAGAGGCTTCAAGTGCTGCCATGCCTGCAGAGTAGATATTTGAGTGAGACTGAATTGGCACAAATATATCTGCACATGCTCATGCAAAATTGATCAAAGCAGATTCTGACAACAAGTGCAGCTAAAGGTTTGTTCTCTGTAATTATTTGTCTTTTGGTATTGCCTCTCCTACTACGCTTCAGCATACAGAAAAAGCAAAAGTCTGACAGGAATAGAGAGATATCTGAGCAGTGTCTGTTGCTGGAAAAATCAGATTAAAGGAACACCCTAAATCCATCAGCAGCACTAAGAAAATGTAAGCAATAGTCCTTGCCACAACTGACACATTACAAGTCCAAGTTTAAATTGGCTTCTGCTGCATCTCCATATGGTATAAGAACTGTGATCTCCCACATGGAAAGGAAGAGGCCAGTTACCAAAAAAATGAAAAAAAAAAGAGAAAAAGGAAAAAAGCAAAAGCTGAAGAATAATACTTGGAAGCATTCAGCCTGGTCTGGAACCAGCCCTGTTTTGTGAAATATTCCTTATGCAGACAGTGAGTAACGTGTGCTTAAGATACAGTAAAAAAGCATTAATCTACAGTGGCTTTTAGGGATATGTTTAGTGTTAGGCATGTGTTATCCTGATTACAGATACATGCATGCTTAAGTGTTTATGTTAATCAGAATTATGGTTTTAAAAGTGCTTACAGTAACCCAGACAGAAATTTATCATTTCTCCAGAAGGCTGCATATCTTGCAGCTCATTTTTTCGCATTTCTTGGAGTATTTTTCCATCAAGAATGTATTTTGTACATAATGTTGCATCTTCTGAGTATGTGCACGGAACCCAGTGTCTGTGGTGAGAGCATCACAGCACTGCTGCTCTCCTGTCCTGGCTGCAGTTTCAGCATGCAATTGTATTATGCAAATAGGTGCACTAAACTTGTTTCAGAAGGTAATTTCAGCTTCTGTAGCTAAACATAAATTAAAATATTCTAAATTAAACTTGAAAGACAAAGCTGTAATTAACTGCCTTTCAGGTTCCTGAACCATTGTTAGAATTGTTCTGAGTTTTAAGGGATGCCTCTGAGGCTGTTTAGACCCCCAGCACCCACTGGGTGCTGCTGTTCCAGAGCAGCACTTGATCCACCTGGGATTCTGCTCACAGAGCAGGTGCCAGTTTGCACTGCAGTGAAATCCTTGGTTCGTGGTGTTGGGTGGATTTTCCAGCTGTGGTGTCATCCAGCTGCCAAGAGCCACACAGAACACCGAGCTGATATCTTAGTGAGATATCACTGGGGCTTCAGGGAAAGGATGGCAGGTACTGCACCACTTATTCTGCACATTTTTCTTGTTCCTCATTGCTGCACAGCTGACAGAAGACTCCTACTCTGTTATTAGTGACTCAGAGATGTAAGTGTTGACCTGACAGAGCTGGAGATAATGGATGAACAAGCAACTCGGGTTCTGTGGGTAAGAAGTTGATCAACAGAACTTTGGAAGGGCTGTTATGAGTGGTGAGAAGTTACTCAAAGCTAAAATTGGTCCAAAGGCTGTTCAGTGTCCCTACAGAGCATTTCCAGTGCCTTCTGAAAAGCATGGTGCTCCAGGAATGGCACTGGTAATGCCAAGATCGGTGTCCTGTTTTCTGGTGGGTGTCAGTTGTTTCAGTGACTCAAGGTGATCTGAGCTGAATCTCAAATGAAAATTTTGCTTTTTGTTGAAAACAAGCCCCAAACAATCCATGGTTTTTTTGTAAAGGTTTGTTTAATGGCAGAAGCTTGGAGCTTGAGCTGCTAGCAAAAAATACATTGTAACGTTGAGTACAGACATGAATGCAACGCACTGAAAAAAGACACAAATACTCTCTATTCTTCTTCTGACCCAGTATTTGAAGTTCTGCAGTAGCCTGTAGGTGTTGGCTGTGTCACCAGCAGATGGCAATATTGCTCATTCCATAGCGTTTCCATATGCTTGGCATCTCCTACCAAACAGACCTTTCTATCCAGAGAAGACAAAACATTCTTCCTGTGTCTTTTAAACCACAACATGTGTTTGTCAGGAGGAGCTGTGTATTATTAAGGGCACAGTTTGTCTCGGGGTTTGTTTATTTGCCCTGGGCAAATGAGAAAAATGTCTTTTGATTTCAAAGGCCGTGCTATCTGGGTCTGACAGAGTCTGCTGTAGATTGAGCTGTGTTAGTGGGACACTGTCTCCTCCCTTTGCAGGAGGTTTCTGCCCTTGCAGAGCAGTTTTTTGTACATGCATTCTTGAAATCACATTGGGAAGAATCATCTTGTTTAAGCAAACCCTGTCAATTTTGCTGGAGGTAAATGAAAGAGAAGCTGCTGCAGCAGCATGGATGGGTAGAGCAGGAGCATTGGGATGAGTATCTGGGACCAGCTGGAGTTCCACTGGCAGGAGGAGATGTGTGCAGAGTCTGAAGGTCTCACTCCACAGAGGGATGTCACTTGGGACTCACACTGGTGTTCTTCTAAAATTAGTGTTATTTTTCCAAGCACAGGTGTGCAAACCTTCAGTCAGTTTGTAATACCTCTGCTCAGTCAAAGCCTGGGAACCTGGTGATTGCTGTTTTGATTACTTGCTGTGGCCTTGGAAGAAAGCTGTAGTCAAGAGTTTTGTAGTGCTCTGTGTTTGAGAAACAGACACAAGATTGACCTAACCGAGTAAATATTGAAAAACAAAAAAAAAAGAGTGAGATTTTTGCATTAGGTGTATCTTGCATGCTTTCTTTCCTGGTCTTTCTGCTTCCTTCAGTTTTCCATAAAACAGCATGAGATCTCAGTCCTCTTTGTTTCTATTTCTCTTTGTATCATGGTTTCACAAACACTGTTCAGAAATGTCTTGGCTAGAACAATCACAATTAGGAGAAAGACAAGCTACAAAAATGTGACTGTTCTTTAATGCTAATCCCTGTGGCTTTGCATACCTAGGAGATCAACCTCAGTTCTATTTTCTTAACCTTAATTTTTCTTCAAAATTGAAATGTAATCCAGGGCACAGAGTGATGTGATTGAGTAGCCTTTCACCTTAATACGGCAACAATAAATCATGCTCTAGTCCAAAAGGGAGGAGCTTTGATGAGCTCGTATCAATCCCTTTGTATGTTCTTTAAAAAGATTGGATACTTCAATAGCAAGAAGATGGCTGATTAGGATTTAGATTTATTACTGGAATTTCCTGGGGAGAGGTCTGATGTCTGCAAGCTGAGTGAATTAACTTTCTGTTATGTTGTATATTACATCTGATAGTATTTGCTACTATTGTATCTGATAGTACTTGTTAATTTTACAGTTCCAAGATTCACTGCAAAATTTGAAGGGGAAAATTATTTGGCAGATGTGCAGGTTGGTGTGGTTAGGATGCTGAAGGAACTGCTGCAGCATCAAGGTTCTCTTTGAGGGCCATTTTGATTTTGTCAACAGTGTGTTGGTTGTGAGTCTGTTTTGTTTCTGACAATGCCATGAGCTCACTGTGGATCTTTAGGAAAATCACTGAATCTTTGGCTTTCTCTCTCCTTAAGTAAAATCAGAAGCTAAAATACACACATATATATATTTATATAGTAATTTGAAAGTTAGAATTGGAAAATACTTTCTAGTATCAGGTACAGGGGTTAGTCTTTAATGGTGATACTTGCACGTCTCATGTTCTCAAAGATTAAACTTCCTGTCCCTGTGTGGAACACTTTACAGCTGCATTCTCTAAGTGCTGATACTTAATAATAGTCTGATTCCTGTCATAAAATCCTCCTGTCCTAAGAACATTTCCCTATCAGATTTATCACACTTGAATCCATGGCTGCAATCTCGAATTGGATGGAAGGAGATCCTAGAGGTGGTGCTGAGCTGGAGTTTTACCTCACAGTATTGATCCCCAGCAGTCTGCTGCCAGTCTCCCTGCAGCCCCCACCGTGTCCATCCCCAGAGAATGAAGAATGAAGCTGTGACTGATGAAGTGTTTTTGTGTGTGCAGGTGATCTCCCCTCAGCGCATCCCTGCCACGGTGCCCCCCACGCTGCTGATGTCCCCCATGGTGTTCAGCCAGCCCGCGCCTGCCGCTCCCAAAGCCGCCGAGAGCGCCGAGCCCGCTGCCAGCCCAGCCAGCCTCCTCCTGCCCCTGCCAGCCCCAGAGCCAGCCAGCAGCACCTCCATCAGCAAGCTGCAGCTGCAGGAAACGCTGCTGCACCTCATCCAGGTACTGTGCCAAAAATCCCCCCGCTCGCCTGGAAATCCTGCTGCCTGCGTCACCTGGCCAAAGGTGGAGTGAGGAATTAAATGTGTGGTGGAAGTTGGGCTGCTTGTGCCTGCGGGATGCAATAGGCTCTCCTTGCTGGCTCAACTACATTTTTATTAATGTATCTCATTTGGGGGTTCAGGAAAGCTAATACATTTGGAGGAAAAGAACAAAGATGACTGAAAGCTTTGTAAGGTCAGCCTATGAGCCAGAGAGACATCTATTATATTTTAGCTAAGGATAAATCATGGGTGATTATCCCAGCTGCCAGATAGTTCAGAGATGTGTGTAAGCAGTAAGAGGAATTCAGATGGGAGATTAAAATTGCAGGATGAGTGTGAGCAACTTTAAAATACGGGCTAGATAACATGAATATATGTTAATTCCATTTAGCATTTGAGCTAGAGAATTACACTGAATGAAATTCCTTTTGCTGCAGTTTTTCAGGTTTAATTGTGACAAAGCATTAACAATGCTATGTTTGAGATGATTGTTTACTGCTCTGGCATGATGCAAAATTATTAATTTTTTTCCTTAACTTGCCATGTGAATAATATCTGAAGAGTAAAAGTTGAGGAGAGGTTACATAACTAAAGACCTGCCTGCAGAACACCAGGAGCAGAGAAACACATCCAGTTTGTAGGTCAAAACAATGTGCCTGTGTGGCTTTGGAATAAAATTAAAATTCATTATTGTAAGTTACTTAAAATGTTATTTAAGGTATAAGTTCAGAAAAGGAATAGTATCCTTAAAAAGCTGGAGGGCTTTCTCATTTTTCCCTGTATTTTTATTTTGGGATTAAAAAAAAATCACATTATTTTGTCTTTACATACTTTGAGTGTCTTGATACTATTAAAAACATACATGAAGTTATAGAGGAGACTAATCAAGGAAGGTTGGGGTTTACCCTCTGTAACTTTGTACCTGTAAAATATATATTTAACCCTGCTATTCTTGGTGGTAGTTAGGATTAAGTGAAATTATTCACTGTCAATTTGTTAGCTGTCATTTTCCATTATATAAAACTACAATCTTGGATGCACCTAATTTTCCTTAAATATTATCTTGATTGTAATTATCCTCATATGTTTATGTGAGCTACTTATAACATTCTTTCTTAATGTGGGCTGACTCATTCTTGCAAAATGTTCTTCAGAAGGCAAAAGTTAAACATCAGAGCAAAAGGAGCAGCATCCCTTAGGAGCATTAAGCATAAAAGAGCTAAACAAGATGCAAGGATTTGCCCAGGTAGGATTTTAGTGTAGGATCACAATCCAGAGTGTTTTATTATTCCTTGAGACAGGCTTGGAATTATCACTGAGCTGATAATTCAACTTCAGGAAGTCCCTAGATGAATGAGGGCGAAGAAGAGAAATTGCAGGGTTGTAACTTCAGTGTTGTCACTGAGTTATTAAGCAGCAATTCTGGGCTCGATTTAAATGCACTGTGAGTTTAGAAATTCTTCTTTCTGCGTACTCATTGCTCCTTACTGAGGTACAGCCATGGGAAATGAAACAGATCTTCAGTGAAAGGGCTTTGCTATTCTCTTTTTTAAAAAAGAGTAAGGCTGAAAAGTATCTGGTCCATAAAAAGGAATAACCTTCTAATCTCTTTACTCCAGTTATCCTGCTAACAATTACCTCTTTTGTTTTTCAGAATGATGACAACTTCTTAAACATTATTTATGAAGCATATCTCTTCAGTGTGAGGAAGGCAGCGATGAAGAAGCCTATGTGACAGATCATCTTTTAAATCAATTTCCATGGCTTCCTGAACTCCAGGAAGAAGATTTTGAAATTTTCAAATATGACTGTGTTTGAAGAAATGAATGATTTTAGGCATTTTGCATACACTTAGATTTTCCTTGTTGGCAAACAACATGCTGTACTGAGAAAAAAAAAAGAGCAGAAATGGATTGTGCCTTTAGCGAGGGGAGCGTCACGACGCCCAAGAATTAATCACAAAATATCTTAAATTATTTTCCTTACCCTGCTCCGTACTTGGAGCTGGTTTCCCGGCATAAGGACTCAGTTCTCAGGATCCAGTTTCCTTTTTTTTAACCCGCAGCGTGGTTACTCATTGCCGAGGTATTTGTCCCTGCTTTCCCCTGCGCAGCTGTCCCGGGGATCCTGACCACATGGTGGCAATGTTGGATTATTTTTAGGAACACGAAAATCCGCCTGAAATCCTGGAACGGGAGATTTCGGCAAGACTGATCGTCCTACTTAGTTGTCTGCAAAGCAATTTAGAAGAAGTGTCATGACTTTCCCCAAAATTTTTGTAGGGAGATCTTTTTCTATTTTGACAAGAATATTTTTAGCTAGGTGTAGAGATGGGATTCTGCAGGTGTTCAAGGAATTGGAGGGTGGGGGGGTGTTGTGAATGTACTTTGCTGTCACAGAGCTCTGGGGTGACACTGGATTCATGTTTTTATTATTCCAGGTCCAATCTGCATAATTATAAGCAATGTGAAGATTTGTTAAGGGGAATGCTACCCGGTGTAATTTTATTTTATTTTTTTTTTAAGTGTGTTCCTGGAGCACAGTGATTTCATTGATCCATTTCTAAAGAAAATAAAAATGGATAAATCCCTACTATGTGCTGATTTCATTTTATTGCACCATGGGCTATATATTTAGTTTGTATGACTCTAAAATGTTTTTACACTTGGCAGAAGACACGTGAGGATTTAAATCAACTAGAATAAGCAATTGAAAGAATTTTTATGTATATTTTTTATTAGCATCTGCTGCTGAAGTGCCAGTTTACTAGTTTAGGAACACAGAGTTGTTGCTGAAGAGGAATTTCCTCTGTGGGCGCAGAGAACCCAAACTGTAATCCATAAATGATTTTTCAATCTTCTCTATTGGTGTAGGCACAGCTCAGTAGCCTCATCTGTGAAAGTTCTTCAGTGTCAATTTGGCTGCAGCTTTCAATTAGTAGAGCTGTAATGACTCAAACAATTGCTCCACCCCCATGCAAGGGTAGGGGGAATTTGCTCCCATTTCATGGGAAAGGCTCTAAATACATAGGAAAAAAATAAAAAATAAAATAATAAAAAGCCAAGAGCTATTTTCTTTATTCACACAAGCAAATAACCCCAAGAAACTGCTGGAGTTTCCCCACACCAAGTAACTGGAAGACAGCAAGTCCCACTCTGTTACTTTAGGATTCTTGCGGATTCAGTGAAATGAATTTGTTGAGCAGAAACCAGGAAAAGCAGACTTTAAAGACAGCAAAATCCAAGCCTGTAGCCTTCATAATTTATGTAGCCTTTATAATTTATGGGATTCTACTGAGTTAATTGGTATTATTTAGGAATGAGCTGGTGTGGAAGAAATTGCAATCTACACAAAAGAGTTTGAAACTAAATTCGCGCATAATTGGTGTCTGTGATGTTGGATTATCTGAGAGGGCAATTTAAAGATGATGGGGACACATAGTTAAGACCTCGTTTGACATGTAGAACTTCTGTAATTGGTGGGTAAAAATAATCCTTAAGCATCTCAAGCTGTCTTGGTAATAGATTTTCTAGTTATGGGGCAAATATTTACAGAAAGGCAAGTAGAAGTTTTCAAAACAATTCTTATTTATTACTTGTCAGAGCAATTTACAGAAATTAAAGGCATATTTTTTACAACATCTGTTAACTCTTGGTGCTTATGAAAACTGTGGCATTATGCTTGACAAGCTGAGGCTTATCTTAAAGCAGACAAGGCTTGAGCTAGCTCAGGGTTTCTTTTCACTGCCCTCTCTTCTGGTCACATCTCCACCGAGTAATGCTGGCAGAATTGGATTTCTCTCGCTGCATTGCACTGTAAGGGATTTCTGGGATTATTCAGAAGGCATAAAATTGCCTTTTGTGGAGTGAAGAAAAGTTGCTGCTGAAGAACAGAGGTGCTGTTAAAGTCCTGCTAACCAAGGACAGCAGTGGTAAGAAGATAGAACAAGCTCAGGAAGAAACTTTTGTGACAATGAGCAGAAGAGGAAGAGCAGTGAGAGAAATCTGTTAGGAGATGAAGTCAAATTTCTTGCCTAGGTTTCCATCTCAGAGGACAGGATCTGCTTCATCAGGTGCATTTGAGAATTGGAGCCTGAGCTTGGAGTCACACTGGAGTGTAGAACTGAGCCGTGTCCCTTTCTTCTGCAAACTGAAGTCCTGTCTCAGTAAAACAGAAAAACAGCTTTTTTTATCCAGAAAAACGACTGGAGCCTTCCAGTGTCATGGAAACCCAGAGGATTCTCGTGGAACACCAAAAACTTCACCTCTGCCTTTTGGCATTGTGGGTTTTTAGCAGCTTTGTATCAGCTGGGGGTGTCCCTATGCAGCCAAGGTCTGTGCATGCCACCAAAAAGGGTGTTTGGTACATCACCTCTGAGTATGGTGCTTGTAAATATTCAGCTTTTCTCTATTTTTATTTCTTTTTTCAATACTGCTAGAACTGTGAGCTCTTAGGCTAACGAGGCCTTTGGAGAAGAAAAGACTGCAGCAGTCAGAATTGCCATTTTGGGCATGTTTTGTTTTTTCTTGAGTATGGAAAAAAAGAGCAAGTAGAAAATCAGAAAGTTTATAAGGACCACATTAACTCTGCTTTAGATAATTTCACAGCATGCATGTGTAAATTTATTATTATTATTATTGTTTATGTATTTCTTGTGATACTGCTCATTTTGAGTTGTGGTGGTTTTTTTTTTGTTTTTTGATTCTTTTCTTCCAGTAGAATTAAATAACTTGTACCTTTGGCACCAGCAAGAATTCCAGAAGCAGTTGCAGCAGCACTTTATGCATTAATCCCATTCTCAGCCTTGAACTGATATTAGTTTTCAGTGTAGCTCTGCTTAACCACTGCCCACTTCCTTAAAAAATTCCATTATTAATGGAACATTATTAAATGGACTCCACTATTAAACCAGAGGGAGAAGACAAGGAGTAAAAAAAAGTCAGTGAAACATTGAAGCATCATTTCTGTCCATGTCTATAATGGAAATTCACAATACTCAGGGAAAGCATCCAAATATTTTCTCACAGAAAATTCCGCTCCTTAATCTGCTTTTTTGATTCATTAGCTCTCTGTTGCTCCTGCTTGTTGTAGCTGCGATGGGGATAATTAAAAATGGTGCAGCAAAATACAGTTTTCCCAGGAGCAGGATGCTCCACCTCCTCTGACAGCCTGTTTAGAACGTGTTGAGCTTTGAACTTCAGTGATAAAAGCAGTGGGTTTTAGAGATGCCAGTGTCCCTTTAGGACATGAAAATCATAGTTCAATATTTTAGCAAACTTGGAAGCCTTTTGCTGAGGAAAAGGCAAAATTAAAAGACATTTTTCAGTAGGAATTGGAGCCTCTAATGGAAACAATGTTATGAGAAGGCAGCTTTACCCAGAGGGGTCCATGAAACCTTGAGAAAGGCAAAATTCCCCTCCTGGAGGTGGATAATGCGCTAGAAAATTAATCCTTAGTCATCCTACAGGAAACTTTACTGCTGATTCTGAGGACTTTTAAGAGACTCTTACAAGTCCTTGCCTTTTCCAAGCTCCTGTGAATATCTCTAACAAGCTTGTTCTGGCCTTTAGATGTAAATCTGTGCACTGGAGCAGGGAGCTTGGCCTGTACAAGCTGCAGGTGGAAAATGTGTTCTGCAGGACACTGAGGAAACAAAGCTTGTGGCTTTGTACATCCTTGGAGGAAACCCACTCCTAGCTGCTCATCCCTGCTCCCACACCAGGCTCTTCTGCCTTTTCCCTTTGGTTTTCTCCCCTTTTTTTAATAATTTTAGGATGGCTATAAGGTGAAATATATGCCAGCAGATTTAATGCAACGTGCCAGGGCTGGGTTTGATGTGGGGCGCTCAGAGGGTTCAGTGCATGAGTCAGTGTTCAGGAATAATCACAGAATAATTATATAAAGGTGCTTTATTGAAGAGCTCTGGGTGTCAGGGGGACACAGACCCAAATCTGACCCATCTTGGTTTTGAGTTGAACATGTTTTTATACTCTATTGTTATACAACTTACATATTAATTATTAATCTTACATTGTTCTATTGTATACATTGATTTTACCCGAGCATGGATTTCTTGTGATCCCCCCAAACCCCTAACATTGTTCCTCATGTTCTTTAAACAATAATTATATCTAATCCCATCTAACAATTGTATCATTTACCATATACTGACCACACAAGTGAAGTTTGACCTGATCTTTAGCAAGCACAAGGCCTAACATTTCCCAGGGCCTACTTTTCCCAGGGCTTCCCAAACCAAACTTTCTTTCTAACTCCCTGAATTTTATATATATATAAATATATATATATATTAAATATTTATTATATATTATATAATACTATATATATATGCATATATTTTTATATATATTATACATTATATATAATATATATTATCTATTATATATAATATCATATATTATAATATATTGATTATATATTAATTATATGTTATATATTAATTATATATTAATATATTATATTAAATAATATTATATATTTAATATTAATTATTTATATATATATATAAATCTGCATGGAAGTGAATACAAAGTGGCTTTTTTTTAATCTGTAGCTGAAAAAAAGCTACTGAAACAAGAAGGAAATAAGAGCTGGGAAGGGGAAAGTGGAGAGGAAAAGGAGATTTTTATGTCACTTTAAAGAGCAGATTTTTGGAGAAAATGTGTTTAATGTAGGAATGCTTTTCCTTTATACCTGCTGTGGAAAGAATTTGAGTTGCAAGAAGTCTCCATGCTTCTTCCTTTCAATAGGTGAGCAATAACATAAAGAGAAAACAGTAACATAAAAAGAAAAATTTGGTTTAGAATAAATCAATAGATTTGTCAATAAATAAATAGATAATCAATAGAATCTGATGTACAAAATAAGAAGTCCCTGCCCATTTTTTGAGAGCAGCAGCTTCAGTCAAACAGGTAATAAAAACATAAAAAGAAAAACCACACAACATTTTTTAAGCCAAGTTAAAATCCAATTTTACTATATTTGGACACAAATTCCACAAAAAGCAAGGTAAGCCCTGTAAAGGCAGAAGGAAAAACCCTCCAGATGTGGTGACTAAAGAAGAGTGAAGAAACAGAGAGGATGAAATCTTCCTACCAGCAAGAGAATGTCCATGAGGGAACCCTGTATTCCTACAGAATGTGTAGGACAGTGTGCATAGAGGGATGTTGATCCCATGGTTAGATCCTACAGAAATATTAAGATTTTTCTTGCTGTCACACATCTCATTACACCCCATGCCTGCAGGTACAGAAATCCAGTCCTGGATTTCTTCAGCAAGACCTGAAATCCTCTTTTTAGACACCCTAGAAGGGAGGGAGGGAGGAATTCCTGATGTGCCCCTTCAGAACCCGACCCACCTGTGGCTTTTCCTGCAGCACTCGCCTGTAAACACGAGGTTGAGAGAGGAAAGGAGCTTGGCACCCCTCCCAGAGCAGGGCTACTCAGGCTGGGAACAAAAGCTCTGTTTTC